ACTAGATTCGAAGCAAAATTTCCGAGAATACTATGAAAATCCTTTTTATTTATTTATTTTATTTTTTTCTTTTTTTTGCTTTTAGGTCAATGAATATGTGCCAACTTTGTGCTTCAAAAATATTTATTGAGAAAATTTACTCATGAACAAAATAATATTTCATCAAAATAAATGAAATTTCATTCCAATCCAATCATTTTTTTTTTTATATCTTATTATAATTATCTTTATATTTTGTATATATTATTTTGCATTTTTTATTTACTTCAATAAAATTTCGTTAAATCGAACAAAAAATTAGAGTTTCTCTAAATCAAAGAAATTTTCTTTTTAATTTCATTTCTTATCACGAAAAATGGAAAAAAAAAATTATTAAAAAAGAAAGACATTAAAAAAAAAACTTTTTACCCAAATAAAAATAATTTTGACAGACATTTTAAAAATGTAAAATTTGTATATATACATAAAATATATAAATCTGGATTTGCAGAACAACTTTTAGACATTCTTTGTAACAGGTAAATTAAAATTAAAAACCTTCTCGTCTCATTTTTTCCCCCTAAGAGCTTTTTATTCTTTTATATATATATATATGCAGGAAATTAACTCCGTTTTAACTTTTTTAAGAGAGAATTTTAATCTAAAGAATGAGAATATAGTATATATAGTTTTGCTGAAAGCAAAATTAAAATTTTGTCTTACACAAAACTGCTTTATGAAAAGAAATTATCTTCATTTAAATAGAGTAATAATAACTTCCAATATGCACTCAAATTAATTTCACAACAAATGTATATAATAAACAATTTCTACAACAACTGTGTCATCTATATATTTGATGTTAAATTAAATTTAAGTGCAACTTTTAACTTATGTTTTTTTTAAAGTCTACGATTTTTTTAAGTTATATAGATTTAATAGAATTTGAATAACTTAATTATTATTAAAAATATATTGATAATATTTATAATAAATAATTAAATAATAATAATGCAATTAATTCAATAAATATTTTATTCAAAAAAAGTTTATGTTCTCTTCCCCCTAGAATCACTTTATATAAAATTCATTTTGTAAATTTGAAATTTAAAGTTGATTTGTAATTTTTAACTAATATTTTATCTCGTATTTCATTTATTGATAATATTTGTTATTTTTTTGATTGATTAATTATTAAAAAAATTTCTGTTATTAGATTAATAATTAATTTTATTGACTTTAATTAGATTGATTCTGAAAACAATGTTTCATTTTTAATTTTAATATTTTAATTTTAAAGCAAATTAAAAATTTGAAAAAATATTTTACTATGTAAACAATAAATATAAAGTAAACAATTAACTAAATAGAATGATTGGATCAGTGAATGTTTAAATCAAAATTATTATCGACTAAAAAAAATATTTATTAATTATTAGACTAAAAATTAATGTTATGTACAAAAAAAAAATGGTAAATTAATAATTTTAAAAGCTACCTTTAAAAATTATATGAATTATATAAACTAGGCAAATTTAGGAAAATTAATATTTGTACATTCACTGATGCAAATATCCATATTTTATAAAATAAACAAAAAATTTCCAAACACACATGAATTTTTTACTGATGAAATGTTTTTCTTTTTTTAATATTGCGCACAATATTTTATGTATGGAAACTAAAAAACTAATTTAAAAAAATTTTTTTTTATATATGTCTATTTATTATAATTATAGTATGAATTTTCAGTATAAAATTTTTAAGACAAAATCGACAATATTTTTGGATTAGCAAGACATTTTATCGTGATAGTAAAGTAGAAAAGCTCTCATATACGCGGAACATCTATCGCTTTATGGTCTCCCTCTCTCTCTATATATACGTTGATAAAGATTTGCCAACAATGCGGTACGGACTATGAAAATATTGTAGAAACAGAATAAAGTTGTTTTTTTTACGATAACAGTTCAAGCAAAATCTGTTGTTTATATTTGTTTATAAATATTTTAAAAATTAAAATCAATTTAATCTAAACATAAAAGCATTAATTTAATTATTTTAAAAATTATAATTTATATATGTAAATTAGAAAAAAAATAAAAATTTTGTAAACGCGACTATATAATAATATATTGTATTTAAATATTATTATAAATATATTTATAATTAATAAAAATATAAAAATTATATTATTAAGCTACAAGATATAAATAAATAAAATTTTTATATGAAACTCATTTTTTTTTAATTATTTTGTAATTTTGTGAATTTTTTTTTTTTGAAAATCAAATACGTTTTTTTTCTAAATAAATAAATAAACAATAATTTATAATTCTAAATTTTTTTGTAATTCTTAACTTTAAAATAACTTTTAAACGAAGTGTATAATTTGTGTATAATAATGTTCACGTATAGAATCTATGGGAATATACCCTGACCTAATTACGGAAGCGTAATACGTTTATTCTAAATATATATTTATTCCGATAATAAACACTTTTTTATCGTGTCAATTTTTATGTCTAACTTTATAGTGCCTCTATATTTTTAGATAATAAATCTAAACAAAAACCAAATATTACTAAATTTAAAAAAAAAAATTATCGCGTATAAAAAGAATTTTTAAAATGGAATTTTTTCATATGAAAATTAAAATTAAAATGCAAATTTCAAATCTAATGAAAGATTTTCCAATTATATTAAAAGATTATAAATAAAGAGAATTAAATAGAAAAAAAAACATCAAAAACTTTGATTTTTAGTAATTCAAAATCTAAAGATTAATAATTTTTTTTATTTCCTTTTTTTCTATTAAAATTTAATTTCGCTTTTTGCGACGGAAAATCCCATTTGAAAAATTCTCTATGCACGCAAGTTCTTAGCTCTTAAAACACTTATTCGAAATATGGAAAATTTTTATTATTTACTTAGATTAAGAAATAAAAAGCAAACATCACGATAAAATATTGGAAAAACAGAAAAATTCTTTATAAATGTAAAATAAATTACAAATTTTCAAAATTAATAATTACTACCATTTTCAATTTATCTCGACTTCATTTTTTTCTAAAATTATGTTCGATATTATGCAATAAATTTATTTTAATTCTCTATAAAAGTGCCAAACCCATAATAATATATAAGAGATTTATTCGAGAGAAAAAAAATTCGAATCTATTAAACATTGAGATATAAATTTAAAATTATTTTTATCTTTCATAAAAATGCCATTGAATTTTATTTATTATTATTATTTTTTTAATATTATTATTGTATTTATTATTATTATTTAATATTTATTATAAAATTTATTAATCTATTTAATAAAAAAAAAAAAAATTATTTTTTATTTATAACCCCTTTATGAATTTCTCTTGTGACAATAATGTTTTTCAAACAAATAATTAATTTTTTATAAAATGAAAAAAGAAATTATTTTTTTTTTCCACTTTATAAAAAATAAATATGAGTTCATTCGTAATTGCTTTATTATAATAGTGAATAATACTCGTGTCGAGATAGACACACTTTGTGTATTTTTTGTTTAATTGTTATAAAGAAGGATGCAATTAAAAGCACTAACAACAACCACTATGATCCGATTTAGCTTACAAATTAATTGCAGCAATTTAGCTGGCTTGTTATAAATTCTTGTCACAAGCAAAAGAGAAATGCTTTGCATTCCTGTCAGTATAGTGTCAAATCTCAGTACACGCATTAATTATTTCTCGCGCCCCCATATAACTGTCATTAAATGACAGCTTTAAATTTTATGATCATTGTAACCAATCAGTGTGTATAATTGAACATAATTCATGTTCTATTCTTTTCTTCGAGATAAAATTCTATTTTTTTTATAAATATAATTTATTGTTAGAAAAAAAGAATAAAGAAAAAAACTAACTAATTAAAAATAACGGATTCACATGTTTCAAAAACATTTACTAATTAGATTTCCCTTTATGCGAATTAATGAGCTCTAATTATAAAATTCATGCAAATTCATCTCTTAAGTACGTGGTATTATGAAAATCATGGTACTAAATACCAAATTATCAAGTTGAAATATTAATCTCTATTAGTAATTTGAAACATAATATATTAAAGATAAATGAACATCTTTAAATAAAAATTTCCAAGTGAAATAAAAATTAATTTTTAGAAAATTAATTATAATTATTTATCTATAATAAACTCTGGGAAAATTAATTTCAATTTATTCAAAGAATGTATAACATCACGGGATTAATAATTTATGTATTTCTCAATTAGTTTTACTACATATCGCATCTATTTAATCATATTCAAATTATAATTGTATCGAAAACTATGTTTGTCGAATTTAAATTGTAATCACTTTATATTAAAATAGCAAAAACAATATTTAATTATTGATTAAATAATATAATAAATTCCAATTAATAATAAATTTAAAGCCCCCCTTAAAAAAGAAATATACATTCTCTCTCAAAAAAAGCTGAACTTTAAAAATATTATTTACTGAACTCCAGAGAGAGAGAGAGAATATCTTTTCATTATTTAAATTTGAGAGATGACTTTTTATACGCGGGGAACTTTATTGGAAAACTAGTTAATCTTTTATATATGAACTCGAAAAATAACTAAAGGAGAAAAAATTGATTTTCCAACAATAAATTTTTATTCCATTCAGAAAAATTTTAAATTGAAAATTATTATTATCAAAATTGAAATAAATAAAGTCTTTTAACTGTATTTCAATTTTGAAAAGAAAATTTTCACACTATTCCTTATGGTTTCATAATGAAAAAATATTTCATTAAAGAAGAAAACATTCCTTTCGTTAAAAAAGAAAAGTTTTCTTTTTTTTTTTCTTTTAATTACAGAATTACATCACTAAATTCTGCATTAAATTATAAAGAGAGAAAAGGAATTAAATTTTTAAAAAAAAGGAAAAAAAATTGCAACACCAAATTCCTTTAGAAATATCAAAAAAGAAAATTAAGATGTAAGAAGAGATTTTTTTCAAAATTACTCACAACTGTGTGACGCGTTTTGGTGATGCGGCAGGACTGTCGGTTCTCCAGCCGCTTCGAGCCTCGTGAAAATCTTCAGGGTTCCCGGGGCGCAAGCGCTTTTGTACATCATCCCTTCCGGAAAACATGAGGAAATATAAGGGTGACTTACTGAAGACGAGAATAGGCCTCTCTCTCTCTTTCTCTTCTTTTTTTTTCCTGTAAAAAAAGAATGTTTGTCACTACAAGACAGGAAACATGGATAAATTTTTTCTACCCTTGCCCCGCCTATAAATACAAAAGATATAATTCCCCAAAAAAAAAAGAAAAGGCTTTTCCTCCCCCACATAAAACTAGAAAGACCATCACCTGATCTTTCTCTGACAATTGTAATCCTCTTTCTCTTTGTCCCTCATCAAAGAGAGAAAGAGGAATTAAACACGTCAAAAGAAATTTGCAAATTCACATTTTTTCTAATTTGACAATTTTTATTTTTTAATTTATTTTTTCTTTTTCCTTTCCACTACAAAGATAAACCATGAATATAAAATTTAAAAATCTACATTTTTCAAAAGGAAATCAAAAATTTATTTCAAAATTAGTAAATAATTTTATTTTCTTTAAATTTATTTTAATTTTCTTCTCGCGGAAAAAAATTCGTCACATAATTTTTAAAAAGTGTTTTTTTTCCCCCTACTCAATAATATCATTAGATTTCAAAATAATTGTCTTTACCCAACATAAACAACTGTCATGCTATATACTATATAGACGATGAATTACATTATTACTCTGAAGAAAAATGTAAATTGCGCAATGTCACCGTAAAGTAATTTACTATAATCAAAAGGAATCGCATTAAAAATTTGCCCTTTATATTTGAACCTTACATTTTTCAAGAGGCTCTTTCGTTTATTAAAATTTGTAATTCATAATCTTTATTGTAACATAAACTGAAAAATAACAATAGCATAAAATAAATGTACATAAAATTATATTTTCATTTTTAAAATGATAACACATAAAAATGTTACAAATTTATAAAAATTTCTATATAAAAGATAAAATATTTGATATAATAAAAAATATATATATATATTTAAAATTTATGGAAATGTATAAATTTAAAAAATAATATAATGTATAAAATATGTGGAAATGTATAAATTTAAAAAAATAATATAATATATAAAATATATGCGAAAATGTATAAATTTAAAATATAAATGAAAAACGTATAAAAAAAATGATGACAATAAAATATGTGTGAAAAATTTGATTAAAAAAACAATAAAATAAAACAAGAAAAGAAAAAAAAGAAACAAAACAAAAAATATATCTATTCTCTTGTCGAAAATGTAGGCCAATCGATTCGTTTTGATTCTAGCAATCGTTTATCTCCCCCTCTATTTTAACGCCAAATTATAATAATTGGAAAAGTTCAAGCTTGCAAGTATAATAGAAATGTGAACAATGAGATAGTTTATTCATAAAATTCATTAAATCAAATTGAATAACACACTATTTTCAATTTAATTTATCCAACATTTTCTGAATAATATATAGTTCGTACCCTCTTTTTTTTATTATTAATTAAACTAAAAGTTCATTCTGTAACAATTTTCTTTACTCTATTGTTACTAGAAAAAATGTCACTAAGATCAAAAAATCAATTTAAAATATCAAATGTTTATAAATAAAACTAATTTTTTTTGTAATAAAATTTTTTCAATAATATAAAATATTTACCTTAATGATGAATTATCAGCTGCAGTGAGATTATATCAAACCAAAAAGCCCTCGGAGATCCCTACTTTCAAGTTAAATTTCCATTTTGAAAATGTGAAAAATAACCGTAAAAATAGACCGAGTTCTAAATAGTCCGTGTGAATTCTGGGTATTTGAAGATAAAATACCCTTTTTTCCTTTCGCCTTTATCTTTGAAGTACACGTGACACCACAAGCCATCGAGGATAGAATCTGCAAAAAGAAAATTAATTAAAATTCATTTTATAAGATTTTTATTTAGTATTCATTTTATAAACACCAAATTAGAATAAACTGACAATAATTTCTAAACAATTAAATTTATTACTTCTTATATCTCAGAGTAAGATGTTGTCGCGTAAAAAAACAAAGAAATTTTTTTAACTAAATAAAATTAATTTGACCTACATGTTAATAAAAATTAAAATAAAAATTTTTTTTAACGAAAAAAATATTAATTAAAAAATGCTATATCAATCATCATGTTTATATTATAAATATTTTTTTTTAATGATTTTTCTTTTAAACACGAAGTTGTTGCAATTTCCAGTTCGCATGACGTCAAAACGCATCAATTACACGTCGACGAGTTCATTAGGCAAGTTTAAGCACAACATTCAAGCGAGGAAATGTAGAAGTATAGGGACATTAATTAACCGTGGAAATCACGCAGACACTAAAGCGCGCACGATATCAAAATGTTCGTTATCTTTACACACTTCACCATGAAATGTTCATATAACTAAGGTTTCCGCGCATGTCGTAATATCTTGTTGTGTGAAAATGTCCATTAATAAAATTAAATATTCATTCTACTAATATAATATTATTTAATAAATAAATTATATAAATAGAAACTCAATTTAAAAAATAAGTTTAAAAAATAATATTTCCCATGAAAGAATTTAAAAAATGTTTGTAATAATTTCTGTACTATAAAGATTAATGATGAGAATTTTTCATCTGAGCTTACTCTGAATTATGCAAAATTAAATATTCATTCTACTACTTATTGTTCATTATTTTATTTAAAAAAAATAACAATATAAATAAATAGAAAACAAATATTAAAAAAAAAAGTTAAAAAAAATTAATATTTCACATGAAAGATTTAAAAACATTTGTAATAATTTCTGTACTATTAAGACTAATGGCAAGTATTTTTTATCTGAGCTTACTTCAGATTATGTTGAAGAATAATTACTGGAAAACAAAACTATTAGGGTTCGAAGAAAATAAATAGAAAATTTACTAAACTATTGTTATCATTCATAAAAGAATTTATAGAAATCTGAAATTTTGTTTTTAAACATAACGAAAATTGCATTCTATTATTTGTAAATATTAAGAAAGAATTGAAAAATTATATACAATACGAGAAGACTAAGTCTGACTAAACTCGATTTCAACTACTGAGAATCCAGATCGAGAATTACTACTATTCTTCTTTATAAAATGCAATTTTTATCTTTTTTATCTAATTTAAATGAAATGTTTGAATATGCAAAAGTGAAAATTCTAATTAATTTCAATTAAAAGAATATTTATCGAAATAATAAATTATAATTATTATATTCCGAGTTTTAATGATAAACCAATAATTAAAATTTGAAGATGATGAATATAATTTTGAAAAATTTGTTAAAAAAAAAAAAAAAAAATTTCAAAAATAATTTCAACATCTTCTAACAAGATAATTTTCTTAGTATTAAGGAAGATAAAATTATCTTGTTAAAAGATGTTGAAATTATTTTTGAAAATTTTTTTTTCAGATAGAGTTCATTCCATGAAATTGTGAAGTTGAGATGAAATTCTATAAAGGAAGACAACCCAATGAGACTGGGTCACTAGTGATGCAAATAATTGCTCAGCCTCGTGGGAGGATTTTCAGTAAGTCAACGAAAGCGTGTTTCAATCTTCAGAAAGTATAGCGCAAGCGCTAGAAAGCCACCTGTAGCCAAGCTTCCAATCAATAGGGGAAGGTACATCGTAGCAATAATGAATATAAGCCTACCTACAAAACAATTATTCGCTATCAATCACATATCACTCATTGTTCAAAAATTAACATAATAATAAAAATAATCCGGGGAAAAAAAAATACATATTTATAAAAGTAAAAAAATTTTCAAATATTATTGTTTTTAAATTTGGTAAAGTTCACGATTGAAAAAAAAATATTATAGGGTCTAAAAATTTTTTTCTTCGCAATTGTTGATCATAAACATTTTTCTTTGACGTGTTTTTAAAAATACAATGTTCAATATTCATTCCAATCAATCAGGAAGTTTTGCTCTCAATCTCTAATAAATCGAGTTTTAAAATTACTATTTACAGATATTATATTTTTATATGTATATCGAAAAAATGTAAATTAAAAAAAATTTACTGGAGATATGTTTTCAAAATAAAAAATTCAGAATCGTACAAAAAAAAAATAACTTTTCAATCAAGAGAAAAATTATTTTATATTTTCCCTATGCTTTTTCAATTGTGAAATTCCTTTTAGAATAGAAAAAAAATTGACTCTCAACGAATTTAAAAAGTAATTAATAATTAAAAAACAAACAAATTGCACAAAACAATAGAAAAAGTAAATGAAAATTAATAATACCAAAAAAAAGGAAAAATGCAAACAAATAATGAAACTAATAACACTAAGCTGATGGAACGAAAGATCATTATTATCTCCCCACGTTTATAATTCTCAAACGCAATATAAATATAACAAATCATTCTGACGTATGAACATAATCAACTAAAAAGTCATTAACAAAAATATTGTTTCCTTTTTCTCCACTTTTAGTTCATTTCTCTTTCAACAAAATATTCCTTCAAAAAATTGCTTGAGAAATATATTTATCTCTCCTCAACCCTATATTATAAAAATACACAAGTTTTACAGAAATCTAAAAAATTAAAACTAGATAAAAATATTAATTCATCACTAAATAATATCCCACTTCAAACAAAATGAATACCACTCCTGAAAATATCAAAAAATTTCGATAATAATATTTAAGGTTATGCTTACAAATTTTTTCTAAATTCATCCTCGATTCGATTCTTTATTAAATGCTCTTTAATAGAACTATTACTTGTTTACCGATTCTTTACGGTTATTTACATTACATTCCAAGCAACTGTAAATGTAATTGAAAAGCTAAATAAAATAAAGAACCACGATCTAAAAACAGTACTCACGCCTCACGTACACGTAATGCTCGAAACGATTAATTACAAAACACAAACTACATACACTTGAGTAATTTCTAATCGTAGATAGAATAAATGTTCGTATCATTAATTGTTAATCGCAAACAGAACAAGTAATTAAACTGTGCTTTTAATGAAAATTCAAACAATTAAAGACGCGAAACAACTTTTAACGCGTGCAAGATTCCACATAATAATGTGAAGTTAGCTACGAAAAAGTTCTGCTAACGAAAACTATCGAACTATCGAAAGCAATTGACAATGGAAGAAAATGGCTATTTCGATTGTTATCGGAAATCATTTTCATTCTTGTAATTTATTTCTCTATATTAAGATTAAATTAATCAACTAATTTTAGTTTACCTATTTAATTAAGTTCATTATATTATACATAGTACCTATATAATAAATTTTTAATTAAATAAATAAAAAAAATTAATTAACGTACTCTATTTATCAATATTTAATTATTCAATGCTATTAATTTCGACAGAGAAAGTCTACAAGATTGTAATTATAATTTTAAAAAACAGTTGTAGTTGTTTAAAAAAAATAAATATATTTTTGGAATAGTTATAGTATTAGAAAAGGAATCCTTAATTTGAAAAATAATATTTCTTACCTGTGTCGTAGTCTTCTTTACGTTCATAAGGACTTCTTTATTCTTTTGTCCTTGAATTATCATCTTCTACTGGCAAGAAGTGGGGGAAATCAATGATTGTTAACTTAAAAATCATTTAAAAAAAATTTGTTGAAGCGACACAGATCCTGCCTGGAAAACGTCCATAATGGAACTGAGCGTGCGCTATGGGGAAATTTTATTTTATAGTTCGAGCTAAGTCTGCCGCTTGGTCTGCCGTGCGCTCATTGGACCGGGTATTCACTGCCGGTAGCGCTGATTGGCTGGCGCTCTTGATGCTAACCCAAGTCTATAAATATGGGTCGTTTTGCTCCCACTACTTCAGTAAGCAGTATACTCTTCACGACGCAGGACCTGCGCTGCTTGAAAGAATATTTTTAGCTTCTTATCATTGTTGGGACTTACATTATTATCGCCATCTTGTTAGCAGAAGTAGTATAGTGTAGTAGATTCAACATTCAGTATGCAATAACATAGACTATCATTAAAAAAAATCGTATAACAAAGTGAACGAGTGTATATAACAATGACTTATGGTGAATAATTCGATCGAAGGGGAATATTGATGAACAGTAGAAGACAATTATATTATAAATAGAAGTATATGCTCTTACAAATATTGAATAAATATGCATATACAAGTTTGTAACATGTTAAAAAAGGATGATTAGGAAATAGGAGTAAACAAGTCATCTTCTCGTACTCTGCGATAGGTGGCAATACAATGCGCGCGCATTGTCTATTGTAGAACCTTCATTATACCTTTATAGTGCGACAATTGATATTGTTTGCAACTTCCGGTATGCTACAATTCCAGCAAAAAAATACGATTTACTTATTGCATTATTAAAATTTATTTTTGATTCTTGTCGGGAATTAGTAAATATTTTATATTTATATATTTTTACTAAATTATTTTTATAGTTTACTTTTCTAAATAATTGATGAAAATCGGAAGTAACCTATCGTCCAATCAGAGTAATGGAAGCTTTGCATAGGCAACTTCACTTAATGAAAATTTTATTTCCGCGCGATAGGCAGTGTACCATTGGAATCCGCGATGATTTTAACAAAATATATTTCATATTTATTGCAAATTGTGTAATCATTAGTTAATTCTATGTTCGTTCATCATCGAAAATTATGTGAATTATTATTCTCTTGTTTTCGTTCGGGAAAATTATTTCTAGAGTCAGTGAAAATTCGGATATAACCTAAATTCACTTCGCAAGTGTGTGTATGTGTGTTTTACAAAAGCATTTAAATAATATAAAATTCGATATTTCGTTGTTCGCTTCGTTTCGGTATTATTCAATAATTGTGAAATATGTGAATTATTAAGAACATAAAAATTGTTTATTTTAATAAAAATCGCGAGTGATTAGTGAATTTTTCAATCGAAACGTCGCATTGTTTGCCAGTGGAATTTTTTAGGTAAGAATTAATTTTTTTTTTATTATTATAATTATATTTATTACATCTCATTTAAATAAAAAAATAAATAAAACAAAACTTGAAATTTTTATTAATTAATTAATTAATTTAAAACAATATATCTTTTTTAAAACAAACAAATAAGAAAAATCTACTTAAATCCTGAAAATTATATTCCACTTAAATTAATTAAAAATTAGTAATTAATTTTTTTTTCTCTTTCAGAATCAACATGAGAGCTTGAATAAATAACAACGCAGTAAGTCTTTTAAAAATCAAATTTAACTATTTTAACTCTAAAAATGTGCTATTTTTTCTTTTAAAAATAGCCTTTTATTATCACATTTAAAAAAAAGGTAAAGAGAAAGACAATTATTTAAAAATGAATAAATCTTTGCAAAATAAGATGAAAATGTGTCCCACGTAATCCATATACATAGTCTTTTTGCATTAGAAGGTATGTTTACTTTTAAGTAAAGAAGGGACAGAGTAAAATATTGTTAGAGCGATATCGGGGAAAATTGCTCTCTGATGAATACCATAAATATTATTTTAGTTGGATCATGAAAATTTCATCTATACTTTTATTATTAAATCCGTGAAAAAGTGTTTATTATTTTACAAAATTTAAAGGATAAAAAATACGTTTAAAAAAAATTACAATTTTATTACTAATTAAAGAAAGAAAACAATTATAAAATAAATTCTATGAATTATAAAATCTCGACGCAAGAAGTTTAATACTTAATTGTTTTCTCGTGAAGCATTGTATTTTTTTTTTTTTTTATTACTCTCGAAACACTATAAAAGTAATCCATCTCGAAAGTTTATTTAAATACTTCATTTTATGAGGTACTTAAAGGCGGTATACTATATATCATTTGAAGGATTTCACAAACGACATGGATGGGTGTTTAAAAATTTAGAGCTCAACATAAAAAAACGTAAAAGTAACTTTAGTAAACAAAATTTAACTTTTAAATTTAATGTTATGAAACTTTACATGAAAGAAAAATATTTCCTATTTTTAAACAAAAAAAAAAAAAAAAATTCTTTTAATTTAAAACTTTTTCAATAATACATATGAAGGGTAGAATGACAAAAGGGGTCAAGCGCCAATTCACTGTTTTTACAGGAAGTAAAAAAAACATTTTTAAAAATTTTGCAGGTCATTTAAAAAAAAACTGAGAAAACCGTTTCGATATATTAGTATGTTTTAATAAATAAACAACAATTTGTTGAAATAAACCTACATATTAACGATAAAATTAAAAAAAACTGTGGTGTCTTGAGGTTATATCAACTGCGCACATTTTCTTTAAGCATTAATTATAAAAAAAATATACAGTTTAAAGAAAAACTGGAAAATTAATTTCTTTCTATGGAATCGACGAAATGAATAGAAAAAAAAATTCCTTTAAAAAATTGTTTGTTTTCAAGAAAATTACGAATTAATTGCTTGCTTTGGAATTGAGCAATACTTTCATCTTTAAATTCAATTGTTCACTTAGTATAATCATAAAAATATTTAAAAATTAAAAACAAAATGATTTTAAAATTGTTTAAAATTGAAAATAGATTATTATTATTATTAATTTTATTAATTAAAATATTATTAAAATAAAATATTAAAATAAAATCTAAAAAAATAATATTTTTTTTTATTTTGATAATATTATTGACTCACCACTTTCTTTTGTTTTTCAATCAGGTTGCAATAAAGTAAATTTGAGGCTATTTTATTAATTTAATTTTTATTAAAAACTGATTTAAATACGCAATAAAAAAGGAAATCCTTCTACAGAAATGTGTAAATGAATTTTCTTGATTTTTTTATGCAAAAACCTCATTTTCGAAAAATTGGCGCTTGACCCCTTTTGTCATTCTACCCTTCATATTTTTTTTTTTTGTTATTGTAAATATCGGATTTGAAAATTAAATTTCCATATAAGTTTGAAGGATAAGTTCTATTTGAAGAGTATTTGTTGGGGAAAAATGCACAATAATTGCTCTATTGTTCAACGAAATAGATCACTCTATAGTCAACGGCTTTTATTTCAGCCTTGCTTTAGCCCCCAGGAGTCTTTCATTTCAATAAAATCTCACATCGAGCTTCTTATACACGTATAAAACTCGTGTTATAAAAATAAATAATTTTCCTGCAAAAAAAAATTTGAAATATTTTCTGTATTATGAAAAAAAAAAAGATAAAACAGTAATTTTAAACCAATTATTAATGTATATACTTTGTTGAATATTTTTTTTTTAATTTAATTTTTTTATAATATTTAGAAAATTAAAAAATATTTTAAAAATGAAATACTTTAAAGCAAATAATTATTTTTGTGGAGATTTTGTTCAAAAATTTATTTAACACTTTTGTTTAATTAATTTTACATTAAAAATATAAAAAGTTTAGAAATAAAAAAACAGGTTGATTAATCGATGTATGGCAAAAGAGGAATTCAATTTATCGTATGTCATTCAATTGGCTAGGTAGTTTTCGTTCTTAGCAAATCAATTTTAAAAAGAATACTAAATATTGAAAATAGATAAAAAATAACAATATTTTCCAACCAGGATAAAAGTTTTATTTTAAAAACTATACTTACATTGAATAGAGAAATACATTATGAAAATGATTGAATAAAAATTAAAATATTGACTAATTAATCAGCTCTTTCATTATTCGCAATTATTAAGCTCACTCGCTAAATTTGTCTAAAATTATTTAAATAATTTAATATCTTATAATACAATCTCTCAAGTTTTCAAGTCTAACTATGTAGACAAAAATATAATCAGTTTGTAAATATATATATATATAGTTTCAATCTAAGTCATCTCAAATACACACTCTTTTTGTGAATTATTTCTTTCAAAAATTTGTTAACATATAAAAATCTCTCCATTCAATTCTATATAATCAATATCTGTCACGCATGTAACATTCTATTAAAAAAAAAAAAAAATTCCTTCTCACGAAAGAATTTCCTCATTTTGATAAAAAAATCATCTTTGTTATTTTCTTCTTATTGTGTCAAGCTTTATAAAAATTTTACTCTCCACTTCCATCATATCGTTAACATACAAAAATTAGCACTTGCATATCAATAGAGTGCATTCTTCTTCTTCTTCTTCTTTTATTTTCTTCCTGAGATTTAAAATTAGACTCGTCTTTCATGTACAGCTGCTTATGTTAACACCGTTGAATTTACAATAAGGAATCTAATATATAAAAGTTGACTCATCGTCCTGAAACTTTGTACTTTTTAATCCATCAGGACCTGCAGCTGGTTTTTTTTATAACTATTTATTATAAAGAGTCGTCAGCCTTTCAAACATTGATATCACTTAACGTTTATTTTGCTTTCGCTGAATATCGGGTTCTCAAATTCTTTTTTGTTGCTTGATCTACCTCTGGCAAATCATCATCCTCAGACTTTTTGCCTTAAAATTATAATAGTTTTTTTTAAATATTAATTTTATTAATAATTTATTAAAATATTAATAAATTAATTTAATTGATTTTTAGTTTTCAAAAACTCACCATCCTTTGCGTCCTTCTTCCTTGGCTTTTGCTTAGATTTTCCTTTCGAGACAACTTGTGTTTTGTTTTCACGTGAGAATTTCATTTGCCTTTTGATAAAGCTATAAAAGAGATAGGCTTGGAAAAGTAAAATAGCGCCAAGACCACCAAATTGAACAGCTGGAATATTGAATTTTCCCATTGTGTAGTCAAGTGATCTTTCAATTTGTCCTAGTCCGTAGAAAAATACTAGACCACTTAGAGCCACAGTTGCAAGTCTCGCAAAAACAAAAGCAGCATTTGCTACCAAAAATGCCACTGAAAATATTAAAAAATCATAATTATTTATTTATTTCATTAAAATAATTATTATTATAATTGAATAATTGTTTTTTTACTTGTTTTCAATTAGTAATTGTAAAATAGAAATACAAAACAGAGAAAAAAATCTGGGTGAAATTAAATTAATTTTTTAAAAAATTGAAAAAAATATTTACATTGCGTTGTTTTTTCGTTGTGAGACACAAAATGTACGAGTCGAGCTCCATGTTGAAGAGCTTCTCCTACATAATGCAATACCAAAAGAATTACACCAACATGTTGGAAACTGTAATTAGAAAATAAAAATTAAATATTATGATCATCGATAAATAATTTAATTTTTAACTTTTTTCGATTATTATATACATACTTGAGAATATAAGCGGCAGCGCAAAAGAAAAGTCCAAAAGTCGCTAAAACAATTCTTGGTAGAATTTCTTCTTTCTTTGCCCGTTGGAAGTATAGTTCAGGATAGCTGTGTAACCAATAAGCCAATTGAGCAATGAAGAATAATTTTAGAGAAAATGACATAGATCCTGGATAGCCTTCCCATAGAGATGTAATGTTTACCAAAAGATTGTCCCTGAAAATTATTTAATTCGCTATTGAGATTTAAAAAATTTAATTGTTTTTTGAAATTTATCAATTTTATTATTTTCAATTTTCGAATTGATTAGTTATTCAAATATATTAATTTTAGGAATTTATTTAGTTTTCTGTAATTTCCAAAATTCCAAAAAAATTCCAAAATATTAGTCGAATAAAAAAATTTAGTCTTTATTGAAATTTGTCGAATTTATATTGATTTAAGTTTGTTTCTTCAAAATAATCTAAACTCTTTCAATTAATAACAAACCTCATTATAATGTCGATACCCCAAGCGGCAGACAAAATGTAAAATGTAATTAGCTGGCTAGATTCATTAAATTTCGAATGTTTACTCTTGCTCAAATGAAGACGTTTTGAGATTTTCTGAAATTAAAAATTTTTCACATTTTATTAATGACTTTCACATAATTTTCTCTAATCGTTTATCATTATACTGAAATATTTGACATTTCAATAAAATTTATTTATTCATTCTTTAATTTTGTTTATACTTACGTCAAAAATATATTCTTGAATAACAGCATGCATAACAATTGTTATAAGAAAGTAGAAAAATACAGCACAAATATCTTTCCAACCAGTTGTATATTTTAACGGTAAAATTGGACCATCTGTAGATTCTGGGACTGTCGTTGCATTATGATGAATAGCAATAAAAGTGTAGGCCCATGGTGACGTTACCTGAATAATTAAAAATTAGTATTATAGAAAAAAATAATGAAAATATTAATTTTTTTTTCTATTTTAATAGTAAAATAAATAAATATATTTAAAAATAAAGATAATTATAAATATTTTTTTTCCATCACTTTTTCTAAAAAATATTTTGACAAAGAAAAGAATAACTAAAATATTTTGTAGATAGGAAATAAAAAGATTAAAAATTGAAAATCTTAGAAACCGGTTAAGTCGACACTCCAAAGATATATGTGGTGTGTAACATATGGTTGATAATTTTTGACAATTACATTATAAAGAAAGACAATTTATAAATTGATGAATTTTTAAAATTATTATCTTGACAATAAATAATGAAATAATGAATATCAGTATTATTATAAAAGAGAAATAATTTTTGAGAAAATGCTTTTACTAACCTGCACCATGAGACCCACAACGAAGACCATAGCCACACACGATACAATGTCAGCATGATTCTGAATGATAAATTCATGACTGAGAATCGGTGGATTCTTATTCGAAGACTTACGACCTTTAACTGTGACCATTTTTAATGAGACTTTGTTCTAAATTTGAAAAAAAAAAAAATTTCTATTCTAATTGACACTGACCGCTGTGATCAAGTGCTTACGTGCACCTTCAAGAATAACAACTGTCGTACGGTGTCTCACTGACAGAGCACACAAATGCACAAATACATTCATATCCACGAAAATATACTGGGGGGGTTCAGAAAATACAGACAAATGAGTCGCGCGCACACATATAACTTTCCAAATTAACAGCCAACGTTATCCAATGTGGCGTCCCGGTGCATTTTGTTGGCACTACGTGAATCAATTCATCTTTTCTTACCTTATGTCCAAAATATTTTTCTCTTTATTGTTATTTTGCAAAAATTATTTTTAAAAATAATTTCAATTCATCTACTTAAATTAATTTTTATTTACAATTTTCATTGAAATAAAAATTTTTCTACTATTTTTTCTAATAATTAAATATGAAATTTGATTTATTTTTAAAAAATTAAATTTTGAATTATTTAAATTCAACTTTTTGTAATTTGATTGAAATAAATTTTTAAAATAAAATTTATAATTATCTTTACTTTTTATATTCTATTGCTAATTAGAAAAAAAGGAAATAAACAAATTAAATGAAATAACAATTATACATAAGATATAATTTATTTGACGACATTAATAATACAACATAGTTTAGTAATCGCGCCACTTTTCGTGCCAATAAGATTCATTTTTACTATTATAATATATATATTCCCCTCGCACTTTTCAACACGGATATATATATATATATTTATATACTGCATTTTAACTAAATTATCGCAAAATAATACTATAGGCTTTGATCAACTCATTGATCAACAATGAGTGAAAAATAGACTTCAGGGATCTTAAAAAATATTCAACTCTTTATACAGACTCGCTGTAATTTGTATATTATAATAAATTATCGGATTATCACACAATTTTGTCAGTGTGAATTTATTATTGATATGGCACGAATTTATGGAGAGATATATATTAAGTTTAGAAAATTGTTTTGAATTTATTTTTTTCATTTCACTGCGGAACGAAAAGATTTTTTACTTTTCTATTTCACTCGATCATTTTTTTTTTTTTTTTTTTTTTTTTTAATAACCATATAGAATAAATATGCACACTCACATACACAATCAATAATAAATTATTTTTTTTTTAATCTTAAATATATATCAAAGCTGACAATTACTTTAAAAGAGAACAAAAATAAAAACGATTAATCGTTAGACTTTAATATCTTTAACTTACATCTCTGCAATAATAGTACAAGAGTAGAAACTATTTTTAAAAAGAAAAATTTACTAAAATTTTTCTTTTAAAAATTAATTTCTAGTTTCTTGTAATAATTAATGTAGTTTTAATATATATAATATATAATTATATAATATTGTATTTTATTGATTACTGTTTAATAACAGTATTTTAGTCATTTCATACCTGTTCAACAATTAATTAGTATTGTCATTAACATATACTTGTATTTTATTATATTAATGTAGATTTATTTTACTAGTTAATTACGTTCTCTTTAAAATATAGTTTTTTTTCATATATAATATCCTATGCCGCTTCGTTAATGTGTTCCGTTGTTGTAAGCACTCGGCGAGTGTTATTACGTATTTTTTCATACGTTATATTTTAGTTTTTTTGTTGTCGATAAATTCTTACAACTTATTCATTTTAACTTTCATTGCGAAAAGAGGCAACGTGCATTTGGCATTTTAACAACGTCGCTTAGGTAACTTTTGAATTTTTTAGGCTGATCGCATTATTAGGTTTAGACTAGCATTAAAAAAGCACAATTTGTCTGTTTAATTATTCTTCTTTCAATTTTTAGAAAGTATAACAAAAATTTTAATTATATTATTTTTTTTCTAATTTGAAGAATATGTTGACATATTTGGGACGTTAATTTTATTCTCAGAATTAAAAAAGAGAAAATAGTTTAATTCTATCAGATAAAAAAAAAATCCTTAACATTTTTTGATAAATCTTACTTTAATAAAGACACGTGTTAAACAAAAACATCTTAATTGTGTGCGAGTAGAATTATTTTTTTTAAAGACAAGCGTGCTGATACAATAATAATGAAAAAAAAAATTCACTAAATAACGGATGTGGTCACAAGCCTTAAACTTTAGCACATTAAAATTTACGTGCAACCAACACGACTTAGGTTTTTTTTTTTTTTTTGATCTGTTCCTAAGAGCCGTTTTATACGATTGCAAATTATTTTTTTGAGGTAGACGAGTATATTCTCTGAATTACATAGCTTTTTTTTCTTAAAGCTTTGATTAATGCTAAACAGAGAGACAATTTTCATAAACTGAAATGTGCCACAAACTTCTTTTTTTCTTAAAACTTTTTATCGTATACCTTATATGACAAGGATCATCTATTCACGTTAAATTTGTTCCTCTATCAAGTTTTAAATTTCGTTTTTTGTTTCGAAATTTCACGCTAAACATTATCAAAATTTTAACGATTTCAATTTTTCTAATAGTTTTTTTTTTTTTTTAAATTCACTAATGTAAATACATCCAATCTTATAAATATTTAATATTAGTAATGAATCTGAGCTCCATATTAAAAAATTTTTTTCTCTTACATTTCTATAATAACAAAAAGGCGCTTTAAATATAACCTTTGGATTTTCAATTTTGAAATAATTAAATTACTCATTTTTTTTAAACATTATTAATCAACTAGACAGTAATAAAATCTTTTTTTTTTTGTCATATTATCTCTTACCTTCTTTTCTAAAGGTACTAACTTTGTACCTAATTCTCAACCTGAGTTTAAAAATTCTTTAAAAAAAAACACACAGAATAACTATTGTTTCCGTCTTGCGGATACTTTCTAAAAGAAAATATTTTTATTTTTAAAATTACAATAAAACGATGTGACCAGCCATAAAATATAATAGTTAGTGTTATAAAAACAATTTTAAGTTAAAAAAAAGTTAATGTTGCAATATAGCAACAAGTTAAGCGCATGATAAAAAGTAGCCTCCTTTTTTGAAATTTTATATCCTAAAATTAATTTTTTTTTCGGTGTTTTAAAATTCAACTAGACGCGAGCAATTTAATGCCTTTAAAATACTGAACTATTTTTTTTTTTTTAATTAATGGCCTAGCGTAACGTGCATTATACAGACACTTATCGAGATACGGCTAGGAAAACATTATATTTTTTTTACGTGAAATTCGCTAAATTTATACAATAAAAAAAAAATACCTAGACGAGGGGTGGATCATTGTCGAAATCCATTTCTTCCACCGTTATATAAAGACCTTCTTCTTCATATGTCGATTCATGTTTTGCTAATACTTTCAATAAGGGACGCAATTTCATCCACCACTGATAAGTTGGGATTCGATGACTGATGAAGAAAAAATTCATTAAAATTTTTAATTTAGAGAAATTAGAGATAAAAAAAAAGAAAACTTACTCAAAATCAGTGACTTGGATAAGATCTTTGAAGGGCGTAAATCTATATTGTCTTCTGACGATTCCTAACATAACTGCGCTGTCAGGATCGGTTGCTTTACCCTCAGGATTCGGATATTTTTTAAGTTGTTCAGAAAACCATTCTACTGCTTTGGCACCCATTTTTGTACCTAAATTTCTATCGAACGGAGTAGGCGATCCTCCTTGTTGCATATGACCTAAAAATAGAATTATTGATTAGCTACTTAAAAAATTAATTTTTAAAATTTATGTATCTTTTTATCTTACAATTAGTAAAAATAATTACCTATAATATTACTTCTGCAACTGAATAGTCCTTTGCCTTCTTCGCTAAAGAGCCTTTGCATAAAGTCTGTATTATAATTAGAGTTAGCACATTCATTTCGAAGAATTAAACCTCTTTGTACACCCTCTGACATTTTTGCAGCCATTGCAATGACGTCTTGATTTAAATCTTTAATGTTAAACTTTTCTTCAAAAATATAGGCTGCATCAGAACCACCCGCTAATCCAGCGACTGTTGCCAAATAACCACAATAACCACCCATTGTTTCAATAATAAATACACGTCGTTTCGTTCCTTGAGCAGATTGACGAATTCTGTCACAAATCTGCGAATTATATCCATAATTATTGAATTATAAAACAAATGAATTGTAATAAAAAAACAAATATAATTAAAGATTTTCGATTTCTTTAATTTTTTAATTACTTAAGTACCTCCGTAATTTCATTGAGAGCAGTATCACAACCCAGAGAAAATTCGGTTCCTGGTACGTTATTACTGATTGTTGCAGGAATCATGGCAATTGGAATTTTAAATTCATCGAATTGATCTCTTGCTTTGTAGAAAGTAAGTCCTGTTTGGTAACCCTGATTTAACAAACAAAAATAGTTGCATTTTTTTAATTTTATTGTTGAAAGTGTATTATGTACTTTCTAAAAAAATTTGTAATGTAAATATTCATTTTTTTCGTACTTCAAATCCTCCAATGATTAAAAGAGCTTGAATTCCAAATTCTTTGAGTTTTTGAGCAATATGTGGTAGTTGCTCATTTGTTGGTGGAGCACGTTTTGTTCCCAAATAAGCACCACCCTGTGCCACCCAACTAGTTACAGAAGCCCAGTCCATTAATTTCAATTTTCCTGCCTCAAGACCCATAACACCGTCGCAAATTCCATAAACCTAAATTTTGTTAAATTTCTGATCAATAATGATTGACAATAAAAATTTTCATGATAATTCATTTTTTAAACTTGCCTTATCTCCACGGTAGATGCAATTTCTCACAAAGGAACGAACTGCTGCGTTCATTCCACAAGAAGGTGAACCAACATGCATTACAGCCATCGTATAATGATCCTAAATTTGGAAAACAATTTGTTAACATTTTTTAAAAATTTTGTATTTAAAAATATTATATACGAACAATATTATTACAAATATGGGCTGATCACTCTTAATTCTATGATGTTTACTATTGTTAAAAATAAAAGAATTAAATTTATTTCATTAAATAAAAATTTAATAACTTGTAGTTTAAAATTCATAGAATATAAGAGTAATCAATCCTGTGATTATTACATAACAGAGTATAAAATTCTAAATCTAAATTTTAGCATATTGCCGTGGCGTTAGCATTGAATACTACATTTATTATAAACATTAACATGATACTAATAAATGGAAAAAAATGAATTAATGTCGAGGGTTAATTTTACTTACTTGTCCACATAAAGTGAATTGCTATCACGAGAAAGGGATTAAGGTTCATATTAATAAGGATTTCGTGAAAATTATTTTCAACTAATTCATGTGCGCACATGTGCTACATTTTTAAGCAATTTTTTTTTAAAGTATTAGTTAAATTTACCTTAGTTAGGATGGGACCATTATTATTTTCCTGAAGCATTATTAATAAAGGATTTTTTTAAAACTCAATTTAAAATATACTTTTACATTTTTTAGAGACACGAACCTTTCTAAAACTACGTATTATACTTTGTTATCTCACAATTATGAAAAAAAAATTATATGTGCTTCAACAATTAATAACTACTCTATAAAAATTATTATTATTATTATTATTAATTCTTCAATAAAATCTAATATGGCTCGTGACTCTCAAATTAAATAATTTTTGAATATTAATACAAACCTTGTTTGTATCGGGATCAACCGGTGCCTTCAATCTTGTCAACATTTTGTAGGTTTCTAAATTTCTCACGAATCCTCTAAAATATTACAAAAGTTAATAGAAATATATAATTTTTTTTACCAAAAAAAAAGAATCAACTTACTTTCCACGAAGTTGTACAGCAAGATCCCAATTTTTATCAGCCATTGCTTGAGCAACGGCTTTTGTTCGACGAACACATTCCATTAGTGGTAAACGAACAGCTTGATTTCCGTCGAGAGTGACGACACAAGCCTCAGTTTCAGGTGTTGCTTCCATTAATGCCATAACTGCTTCAGCACCCATACGACATCCCTATATTTCAAAAAAAGAATTTTAATTTTCTAATTTTCGAAATAAATTCGAAAGAAAACAACGATTCTTACTAAAACTCTATCGAAAGCTGATGGATTTCCTCCACGTTGCACGTGACCAAGAACTGTGATTCTTGTATCTTGTTGCAATTTGTCGACAACAACTTTTTTCACATTTTCTGCTGTAATTGGATCTCCATTTTGATCGACGGCACCTTCTGCCACAATAATGATGTTGAGTCGTTGGCCAGTTAAACGTTCCTAGAATAAATTTTACTTTAATTGAATTTGAAAAAGATTTTTATAGTAAATTAATTTTTTTTTTTTTTTTTAAAGCAAATTCAATGTCATATGCAAAACAAATTGAATTTATAATTTCTACTTAATATTTTAATCTAAGGATGTCTAATTAAATTATAATACTCTGTATTTTGAAATAAAATTAACTTTCTATTATTATTAAACAAAAAAATCGAATTAATTTTTAATTGTAAAAAATTAAATGATTTTCTTAAATAAATATGAACAGAATTTATTTTCATATTATTCAAAATAAATTCTGTAAATATTTTTCAATTATCGCATTTTTAATTTGTTATTCTTAATTTATAATTAGTAAAATTTTAAATTAGTTAGAAAAAACATACATTAAAAAATGAAAAGTTATATTCAATTATTAAACTCATGAGACATGCATGAAATGAAAAGCAGAGTTCGCTTCAACCTACATTTTCACTATTAAAAAAAAAATATAGAATAATTTTTTGCATAATTAAAATTTTAAATAGACTAATAATAATAATAATAATAATTCTTTGAAAGCTTATAATAAATTAGAATTTCCTGTGATAAAAAAAAATTTCAAATCGAACCTGCAATAATTTTTTGCACAACTTGTTGGGCCAATCTCGCTCAGCGGGCCATTCGGGGATGAAGACGAAATCAGCTTCGCAACAAATAGCTGCTACCAGAGCCAGATAGCTGTAATGTTAAACCTAACTGAAGGCTCTAGCTTGTACTTGAAAATAATGTCATGAATTTTTTTTTTTTTTTACAAAAATAATAACATATACAAATATTCAATATCATGAAAATGAAGAGAAAAAAAAATGTGAGGGTTATTGAACAAAAGGCTCTAGCGTACATTTAATAAAATTCCTTCTAAAATAAATAATTAAATTTTTTTCAGACAGTTAATAAAAATTCGGTTAAATAAAAAACGCTCCAAAAAAACTAATATTTTACTATTTGATTTTTAATCATCAAAATTGTTGAATAAATAATAAAAATTGTTTTTGCGAATTGAAAAACGGTTCAAATTCACAAAATGGAGCTTGCGATGATTGATCAACATCTGAAAGATGTGAATAAGAAAGAGGTCATAGGTTAAACTACTCAAGTCTGAATAGCCTAATCATAGGGATCATTTACAAATATAGCAGAATTGAGTTGAGCTTTAGAACTCTATTGACCCATTATTATTTAACTGACGGTGATTCGGGAATAAAAGCTTTGACATTTTTTTTTTTTAAATTCAACTCACACTATTGACAGAAAACTAGTAATAAACTAAAAAAAGCTCATGGTTCATGATATGTTATATATAATTATGCTAAATGAAGGGACATTAATGGGACATTACAAAATGAACGTTCTCTTCACATGTTCATTTTATGACCGTTTAGTGAAGTAAACTCAGTCAGTTGTCACAAATTTACTCTAATCTAAAACGTAGAATGCAAATTTGTTTTTTCTGTTTTTTTTTAGAATATATACAACAAAACTTTTCAAACTTAATTAGTAATTGTTTTATTTCAAGTTAGTCGGGATAAAATTGTCAATTAATCAAAAAAAAAAGGTCGTCAACTAAAAAATTTCGATAAAAGATCATTTTGACATGCCTGTTCCAACTTTTTACAAAGTTTTTCAGGCCAATCGCCGGGGGGTGGGCATTCCGGAATGAATACATGGTCTGCCTCAGCGGCTAACGCGCCTACGATTCCCAGGTACCTGACCAAAGTTGAAACTTTTCAATAATTATAATATGTAGCTACTTTTTTTCGAAAAACAAATTTTTTTAAAACATTAAATAGCAAAAAAAAACCTATAAAAAATATTCTGAAATTTCCCAAATTAAATATGATTTTGATTCTAATCATAATAAAATATTTTCAAATTTTGAAATTATATCCACAATAATTAATAGTGACTTACCCACAATGACGACCCATAACTTCCATAATAAATGTTCTTTGATGTGAATACGCAGTACTGACAATAGCGTCAATACTCTCGATAATTCTATGAAGAGCCGAATCTGTACCAATTGTCATGTCAGTGCCACAAAAATCATTATCGATAGAACCAACCAAACCGACTATATGAAGATGTGTATATTTTTCCGATTGATCTTGTGTTATATCGCCTGCAAAAAAAATTAATTTTTTTTTTTTCTTTCGTTAAATCTCAATAGTCAAATAAAAGCGTTATTAAATTTTTCATTGAATTTAGACTTTTAATTTAGTATAGAAATTACCGTCTTTCGCTAATTCTTTCAAAAGATCTGACCATTCTTCTTTGAAAAGATTCGCACCGGTGAGAGAACCATCACCACCAATAACAACTAAATTCGCAATTCCACGAAGTACTAGATTTTTCGCTGCCCGTTTGCGGCCAGCTCGCTCTCTAAATTCTTTGCAACGCGCTGATCCTATGACGGTACCACCCTTAAATAGAGAACATTATTTTATTAAAAAATTCGAATAGTTTTTTATAATTATAAATTATTTTTTAATTGAAAAAAAAATTAAATATTGAATAATAATTACTCTGTGGATGATACAAGATACAGAAGACCAAGTTGCTTCGACTATATTTTCTCCACCATCCACCATACCTTGATAACCTTCTTTGATAAAGAAAACTTTACATCCTAAATAAATTCCCATTCGTACTACGGCACGAACGGCTGCATTCATTCCTGTAAAATAAATTTTTTATTTTTCTTTATTTAAAAATAATTTTTGGAAATTTTTGAAAAAAATATTTATAACAATTTATTTATTGTTAATTTTTTTTTTATAAAGTCGATTTAGAAAACATTGCAAATTTATTAAAAATCGAGATAAATCTGCGTAAAAGGCTTTTTAAATTTTATTCTTAAATTTTAATTATCACTCTTTATTGTGAACATTTTATACCTTGGGAATCTCCTCCGCTCGTAAAAACAGCCAGTCCTTTGCCCTTATGGCTGCCTGGTTTTATGAACCTTTGTGCTATTTGTTCTTCCTCCATGATTTCCTTACAAATTTCCTCTAAAAACTAAAGACAAAAGAAGAATTTTAATTTTAAAAATCATTTAAATTTAATTTGTTTCTTAAATTATAATACTTAAAAATTACTATGATAAATTATTTACTTTTTTTTATTAATTTTGTAAAAATAAAAAATTTAATAATATATACAATGTAAAAAAGATAAATGAATAAATTTAGATCAAAAGATCATAGGTCACTTATTCAATGTATCATAAAATCGAGTTCAATTATTATATAAATCAGAAATGATAACAATGATCATAAAATAATTGTGTAAAATTGAGAAATAATTTAAATTTCAAAAGCATAATATAAAATATTTTTTTTTTGCCTCTAATTCGCTTTTTCTCACAACATTGTTTTCTGATACTTGTAGAATCAAGGGATTTAGAAACCGTGAAACTTCTCTTTCCTGATAAAAATAGACGCAACATTTTTTTTAGAACAGAAAATATATATTATAAATAGACAGTAATTTTTGTTTTTCAATAACAAAATAATTGCCTGTTTTTTTGATTGAAAATATTTTTGATAAATTATATTCTGAACTTCTTTTAAATCATCTCTATTTTCAAACAATTCTAATAAACCATACATATGATTTGGTTCTTTACCTTCCAGAAACATCTACAAATTAGAAAAGGTGTAAAAGAAAAAAGATTAAAATCTTTAATGATTTTTCAAAGAAATAACAATTATTAAAAATGACTAGCCTGAGGGAATATCTTGAATATATTTGTATTCTTACGAGCATTCAAAAGCAATTTATTTTTCTGCAATATCATTTTCTTTCTTATTTTAATTTTATCTTTGGTAAAATTATCATCATCATCATTTTTAATTTGAATTTTGATCGATTTTTCATTTTCATGTTGAATTTTTTTGAGATTTTGAAAATTCTCCCGTTTATTGTTTTTTGTAGTTAATGATGAAAAACTATTTAAACTATCATCATCTCTGTTAATTATTTGTAAACTTAAATTACTTTCTGTATGTGTTGCAAATTTTGATATTATTTTCGATAAAATTGAATCCGAATCCACAGATTCATTATTAGAACAAACGCAATCTTTTTTATCTGCATTTGTCGACATTTTTTAGTTTTTCAATAAAAAAAAAAATGATAACATACTTTTAATTTTAATACAAAAAAAAATTTGGACAGGATAAAAAATTTGATTAAATGAAGTTTGTAACTAAAAAAACAACAAACAGAAGCTGTCACACATTTACTTTTGGAGGGTAAATTTCACTAGCTATTGCATAATTCAAAATCAATTTGACAGGAGACAAAGTAGGTCGAGGCAAAAAGTAACAATCGCGATTGATTACAGTTAATAATAATAATACTAACAATTGTTGCGTGACTCAAGAAAATAAATACAATAAACATTATTTTTATTAAAATTGCAAAAAAAATAATAATTAATTTTAAAAGAGAATCACGCAATAACTAACCTATGTGAATATAAGGTTAGTCGCGAATCAAATTGATGTTTTATAATTATTTATTTAGAAAAAAAATAATATCTCAAAAATTATTAATTTTTTTTTTATATATAAAAAATTATTTCAAGGGTAAAACAAGGTGTTATGACAGGAATGACGTTTCTGTCAAATGTCTATTTGATATGATAGAATTGCAATTTAAAATTATAAACAAAAACTCACCAAAAATTAATCAATTTTTTTTTTTTTTTTTTTTTGCAAAACTATTGTCAATTTGTGTCACTATTATAATTTGTTCACTGCTTTCTGAATCGCTGTCAGGAGTCACCTGTTTCACGATCAAACTTTTCAAGGTGACCTTTGAGTTTGTTCCTGACAACCCCCTATTATGGGTCAAAGCAAAATGAAATAGTCAAATTTCCTTTACTTTTTTTCTTTGCACATAGAAAATTATCTTTCTGTCTTTTTTTAATTTCTTGCTTTACTATTTCGTCACCGTATAATAAATTTATTTCTATTCTGCTACGACCTTAACTCCCCGCCCGTAAAATTTAGCAGACGATTATAGAGGGTGTTAGTGTCGTGTTGAAATAAACCAATCAGAAATAATTTATCACTCGCATAGAATTTTGGGATGTTTGTGATTCAAATTCAATTTTCTACGTCAAAAATTATTTTTAGATTACAATTTATCCTTCTCTCTCTCTCTTTCTCGTGATATATAACACTGAACTTTCAAGTTCAAGACGCAACAAATTAAAAATATTATTTCGTTAAATATTTTTATTACTCGATTTTAGGATAATGATTTTACATTTTATTTATTTTTGTTTTTTTACTTTTATTTTTATGTTCAATAATGTGACCAATTTTTTTCTTTTCCAAATTTTGGAAAACGTTTAATTAACTAATAATAATAATTAATTTCTTGTAAAATAAATTTTGTATAAAAATTTTTTTTTTTTGAGGAAAATTAAATTAAAAAGCACAAATTATTGAAGTGGAAAAAATTTTAAACATTTTACGAAGTAGGTAAATGAACTTTAACTTACCGATGATTGATGTAATATTCGGTAATTGGACAATTTTTTTAATAATAAAGGTTTGGAATTATTGTTCTCGATATTTTGTTGTGTTTTCTCCATTGTGCTGGATGATAATGCGAATAATATTGTGATGAAAATTTATTGAAGACTTTATATATATATATATGTAGACGTTTTTATCTTAATTGTAGATTAATTGAGGCACGTTATCGTTTAATAAATTCCATTTAATATTAAATTTAAATTTAGTATTTGAATAACTGGAAAATCTCATTTATAATCTATTTTCTTCTTAGACGAAAAAAATGCCAATTTTCAAATAGTATTTAATTTTTAATTAAAGCAAAAAAAAAAATTCTATCAAATTATTTATTGTTTATAAAATTTTTTAAATAAATTAAAAATATAAATAATGAGAAATTTTACTATTTTTTTTTTTCAAAATCGAAATTGTGTTGATGTGACTAGTTCTACAATTAATATATAACTATACTCTGAAAGCAGGAGAATAAAGTTTAAGTCTCTTTCGCTTTTATAATTTTATTTACAAATACCACCCCGCCAAGCTTGCATCTCATAGGTAGTTCAAATTGAGTGGGGAAAAATTCAAGATGAACACAACTTTACATGAAAAGTATATGGGATAAAATCTAATTTTATAAATATCTATTTTCGAACCTATTAGGATTTTATTTTTTATTTTTAATTAACTATTTAATGAAATAAAAAAATTGAATTTCTTTTTTATTATTGAATTAAATAGTTTTTTTTTAAAAATAAAAAATAAAATTTCATGAACATTTAAAAAATTATCGAATTTCATCCCATAAACTTTCAATTAAAAAATTGCATCACCTTGCGTTCATTTGGAATTTCCACTCACCTAAATTGAAACAACCTAATTGAACGTGCATTATATTTGATTATTCAAACGGCGTTGAACTACAGAATTCGAAGGAATTTAAAAAGACGCAGAACAATGACTAAGAACAATTTCTATAAAATATTTTTTTTTTTTTTAGAGCAAAAACGAGGAGAAGTTACAGAGACTTAAAAGTTTGTTGTTCTTTTTTTTTTTTCATTGTGACGACAAATTCCAATAAGAGTGAATGACCCGCGTTGTTTTTAAATTATCAATTTAATCAATCGTAGTAATTACAAATATCAACAAATGTGTCAGACTTTTAAAAATAGACTTAACTCTATTTTCTTTTTCATTTTTATATATAAATATTGTATAGAGAATTTTTATTTATTACAAAGAATTTTTTCAATTTGAAATTTTGTTGTTAATAATAATTATTTTTATTAGGAATTGTTATTTAGTATAAAAAAATTATTTTTATCAGTTTTGAAAAATATTTATTTAAATCAATAATTTAAGATTGTTTAAAAATTTTTTTTTAAATCTTGTATGAATTTAAAAATTTTTGCCTCTAAAAATTTCAGAAAAAAAGTTAGTAAATTTTCAATTTTTTTTTTATTAAAAATAGTCTACAATATAGTTTTGGTCTAATATGTAAAAAATTGCTGAAGGCAAATTACTTCCTGAATATAATTATCATATTCCTCTAATTATTATCTTAAAGCTTTTTATTTTAAAAATTTATTGTATTTTTTCTTGCGAGAAGAAATTTCTTTTTTTACAAAAATTATTTGCATTTTAATTTGAAAAACAAATTCTCTGTTCTCTCTTTGAAATTCTTGAAAGATGAAAATTTTATATAAATTTCAGAGAGAAGAAGAAATTATGTATTTGAAAATATTTCTATAAAAGAAATTTTATTTTTTCTTTTTTTACTTGAAAATCTATTTACATTGTATAAATTGTGCTTTACAAATTTTTTTTTTTGTTTTCTTTTTAAAATATTAGTAGAAAAAAATTTGTCATTTTTAGAAGCGAGGTCAAACTCTGGTTTTGTCGTCACATTAATGGAAAATGTAGAAAATTTTTTCTCTACAAAAAACATCATTTTTAAGAAACATTATTGACTCGACTGATTTTTGAAATTCATATATTTATTTAATTAATATCTTCCCTGAGCAATTTGCATTAATTAATTTTTAGCTTTTTTTTAGATGTTTCTTGTAGACTATATAAAAGTCTCAAAAGAACGTCTATATAATAATTTATAGATTACCCAATTTTTTTTTCAGACTACACTTAGCAAAAACCCTTGTATTTTGGCTACATGTATAAATTGTGCAAAAAATGCTGTAGCATGTTAGTCGTTAAGTAAGCCTTTTATCGAAAAAGGCACGTACATTCACCTACTACGTAAAGTGTATACGTATAATAATAATAATTTTTTTTTTTAATTACCATCAACACGAAAAAAGATTTTTTTGAAAGAAAATGCCGATAATAAATAATCAACTACGATATACGGTATATAAGATTGACGTTTAACAGTCTAAATCTTGACAATCATATATTTTTATTTTATTATATAAGTACACGTGAGAAATTTCCAAATCCTCTTTGCGCTTTTTTTTAATCGTACTTTTTTTTTTAAATTTAAAATCGACTTTTTAACCTCGGTTGATTCGTACGAGGAGAAATTCTTTTTTTCTCTTTCTTAATAAGAAAAGAATACTAAACACTAACGTCTAGTTTGAAATTGTGTCCTGAAAAATCGAGCTTATTATATAATAATATATAAAAAAAAGGGGGAAATGGATCATCACTTTTGACAGATTTATCTTTTCGCTAAAACTTTTTAAATTCATTTACTGACTCACACTCATCTTATATTCACTTTCGTACGCATCAATTAAAAAAAAATTTTAATCTTACAAAAAAAATTCAGATAAAATTACAACACTTTTAAAGAGAATAAAAATTTTAAAAATAAAGAAATTTTTTAACCTTCTTCTTAAAATAAAAATTTAAATAAATTTAGAAAAAAAAATTCAATTTTTTATTTATTAAAATATTTTAATTTTCAGTGGAATTTTTTTCTGAAAATTAATTTATGTATGAATTTATAATTTTAAATTAATTAATTAGCAATAAAATTAAGAACAAAATAAAATGAAACTTATAGTTTTTTTTAAATTTGCTAAATCCAATTCCTCGTCTCTGGAACATCAAATGCGAAAAAAAAACCCAAAAATTCATCAAATATGATGAAAAATTTAAAAACCATGCGAATCGAACGATGACAAAATAACTACGATGATTGTGGTCCAGTCACACAAATAATGACGAACTGCAGCGCTCCTGAGAAATGAGAAATGAACGCGGCACACTTTTTTTTTTTTTAGTTTGCGATTATAATAATTATATGAAATTCTAATTGTCACACGTTGACAATTTTCGAGTGCGAAGTTTACTTGATAAATCGCTCACAACTTTATTCGAGTCAACTTCGCAAAATAAAAAAAAAATTTATCACTTTTAAAAATGATAAAAGATATATTTAGAAAAAAAATAGTAATTAATAAAAAAGTACATGGAAAAAATTAATCTTGAGATAAAAGTATCGCTTTTAGAAAAAACACTTTCTCATTTAGAATATAAAAATTGAAAAAAAATCAATTTTATAAATTTAAAAAAATTTTTTTAAAATAATTAAATAAACAAGATGTAAACAAAAAAATAATTTTCCACATAAATCGATAATTAAATTTTTTCATATTATATATTTAATTATAAATGTCAAATATTTTAAATTCTATCGAATTTCGAATTACATAACAATAGAATAAAAAATTTTTTCCGTGCACATTTTTTTTCTGGATAATTGCGCGTAAAGTAAAAATTAAGAGTCGTAAATTATGGTTTTTTTTCAGACATTTTATCAGAATTTATTATTTCGTGTAAACGTTTATAATAATAATTATAATTTACAATTACGATGGTTTTTTGATGATAAATACAAATAGAACAACGTAATTCGGGGACGAGGGATAATCGAGGATGAATATGGGATTTTTTTTTTTTTTTTTTAGTGTCGTTGGTTTTGTGTCGAGGTGGAAAGGGTTCGCGTGATGAAAAAACAGAAAAAAAGAAAGAAAAAAAAAATCAGAATCGACTGGGGAAAAAAGAATGACGCGCGTGTGATAATTCTCAATTTGTCAAATATTATGTTAATATAACGCACTCGACACGTCTCGTGGAAGAAGCTCGAAAAAGTATAAAATAAGAAAAAAAAAGAATATATAATAATATATTTATATTTATATATATATATTTATATAAAAAAAAGATTCATTATCCAATACAACACTGGGTTATATGTAACAGGCGCGAAATCCTTGCCGCTAAATGTGTGTGCATTTGCTCTTCCGATAGTCGAGCGTGAAACTCGAGTTTGTTTTTTTTATTTATTAAATTGCGTTCGGGGTTTTTTTTTTGGAGAAATGACTAATTGAGAACTCCAATATAAGGGATTTTCACAAGGAGATTAATTACGGGGGGGGGGGGGATGTAAAAAGTACAATCGAAGGCCCGCTGGCGCGAATTCTCACACCCTAAAAATTGACCTCCCCCCCTCTCATCCCTCTCTTACCGACACCAGTTGACCTGACGAGTGTCTACTTAAAAAGAAAAAAAATGACAAAATATTTAAAAGAATCCTCGAAGGTTATTTTTTTTTTTTGTTAAAAACTCTAAAATATTTTATTTATGCTTCCTCTTCATCGAGCAACGATTACCAACGATTTAATTTTTTTTAATTATTATTCATATTTTTTGTTAGCCAAAATATGTTTCGATTTTTGTTTCTTTTTTTTTTTTTTTTTTTGAAATTGTGCATTGCTCTCTGCTGAGATCTCTCATGTTGCGACTGACATCGATACATCGAAAAAAAATACCAACACGACAACAGCAAAACGTGTAATATCGATAATTATCGTTATTTTTTGTCTCCTGTTTATATCGCTAGGTTTATACACACACGCGTTTTATACATATAATGAAATATATGTTACGCATATATATTAACTAGAGAAACTTTTCACAAAAAGAGGGTGTTTTTTTTTCTCTTAGGATATATTGGCGGGTGTAGTGAGCTTTTTCAAGTTTAACTTGTTTTTTTTTAACTTTTGGAATGCTCTTGATTTAACAAAAAAAAAAAAAAACACAATTTTAGCCAATTAAATTTTTTTTTTAATGTTTTTTCTTTATATATAAGAAATTTCATCTGGAGTTCAAAATTTTTCTATAGACAAGAAAAAAAATGTTCCTGAGAAAAATGCACAACCAAAATACTGAGAGAGAGAGACATAATGATAAATTACAAACGTTTAAAATGTTTTCCTTTTATACTTTCACGATTGTACAATTGACAAAAAAACTAATCTTAACAAAGATATTTTTTTTTCCATCCATTCTTTGGATAAATATTTTATGTATAATATACCTGTTTTCCAAAAAAAAAAAAAAAAACAAAAAAAAAAAACAAAAAAACTTGGAAATTTCGAATCAACATTGACGTGCTTTTTTAAAACAACAATTCTTCCAGGATTCAATCTCCTTTACTTTGTCACTAAATTAGTTACAAAATAACGACGCCGGTAACGACGAACTAAAAAAAAACAAAAAAAAAACAAGAAAAATATACATCGGAAGTCTGATTTGAACGAGAATAAAAAAAAAAATTGTGAAGATTTTACAATGAGAGAGAAGCATTTGACGAGACGAGAATTAAAAAAGAAAAAGTTTGATAATAAATGTACATTTTTTTTTGTATATCAAAATCTTCAAATGATATTATTTGGATGATGAATGGTGATTTTTTTTAATAACTCTCCTTACGACTTGACTAAAATTAATATGATATTATATTAAAGGAAAGCACTCAGGGGGTAAGGAAAGTAGAATGAAATTTTCTTCCAAATAATATCGTTTGATATAGATTATGTTTAATATTCTTAGAAGTGGACTGTATATAAAACAGTGTTTAATATTCTCAGAAGTGGACTATACAAAAAAAAAAATTGCACATCTTATTTCAATTATATCTCCCTTTTTCTTTGCGTTGTGATAAGAATATTTAATTAAAATTTCATGATTTCGTTTTTGTTTCCTTTTTTATTAAGTAATCGTGTGCCATTAGCTTCTCTCGTCATTTGTGTCGTCGATGATCCTCAGTAATGAGAGACGAAGAGGAAAACGATGACGGAAGTCCTACTTCTTTGCTTCGAATTGAAGATTAGCTGGAGGATTATTGGATTCAGAAATAGGCAGAATAGTAGTTACGTCGGCATCGGCGGCAACGTGCAATTGTGTAAGGAGAGAAAGAGAGAGAGAGTAAGAGAGAGAGAGGGGTCAATTTCAGAATGTAAAAGAAAAAAAAAATTGTAGGGAAAGGAAGAGAAAAATTCGGAGGTATCTTGTATATAGGGAAACAAAATAAAAAAAACAAAAAAAAAAAAAGAGGATAGGTTACACGAAGGACAAAACGACAGATGGTGGGTGGATGGATTGTTGAGTGGTAGGTAGGTGGGTGAGCTCTTGAGAGGACGGGGGACGATAGAGAATAGGATGTTTTCTTATTAGATTAGAAAGGATAGGACTTAAGCTTAGGAGGGTTAGTTGTCGCCGGTCTCCTGTGGTTCATCCCCATCACCCTGCGTGTCACTGGTCCAGAGAGTGAGGTTGTCGCGCAACAACTGCATGATTAACGTGGAATCTTTATAGCTGTCTTCGTTCAATGTGTCCAGTTCCGCGATCGCGTCATCGAACGCCTGAAAATAAATTCATTCTTTAATCATCTATCGTTTCGTCAGCTAAATATTAATTAATTAATAATTATAATGTCATTCTATTCTATTTCATCCCAAATCGTTGCGACCAATGTTTATTATTTTTTTTTAATAGAAAATTTGAAGTCTTCAAAAATTCTAATAGTTCGCAACGAGTTCAGGTGAAAAATAATGGAATGATCCATATAATAATTATCTAATTAATTAATAATAATAATTAAGTCGCTAATTATTTCACTTGAAATTAAGGTTTAATTTGAAATTATTTATAAACTTATTCTTAAAATAACTATTCTTTTTATATTTTTGTTTATTGCATTGTAGTCGTTAAACTTAATTTGTAAATTGACCTTAATTTAAGTGAAAATATTAATGAACATTTTTATATACTCTTAAAATAGACAAGAATCTACATAATAATAATAATAATTTATCAGATATTTTTATTGAAAAATTAAATTTGTTTTTGGAATATGGTTAATGGTACAGTGGAGATAATGTAGTGGTTATAAAATTTGTTAGTAATTTACAAAGTTTTTCAATATTTCTCACACAAAATGGTTAATTTACAAGAAAAAAAAAATGTATGCAAAAAATAAAACACCAACACTTAAAAACAAAGAAAAAAAGTAAACATGCTTGTTTTTAGCACCAGATTTTTTTTAATTATTTTATTTAACTTTTTAAGTAAATAAAATAATAAATAAAGAATTTTATTTTATCAAAGGCAAGGAGATTAATTCGAAAACCAGACATGTTATTAATTTGTTAAAAGGCAAAACACACGATTATAATAAAAAAGGGCATTTGGGTTATATAGGAAAAAAATTGTGTTAATAAAACACCCGAAAAAAAAAAATTTCTCTTATGTAGGAAGGACTCAAACAGCAACTTCCTTGCACCCTAACCTGTTTGGCCAGGTGGCAAGCTCTTGCCGGGGAATTGATAATTTCGTAATAAAAAACGGAGAAGTTGAGGGCTAGTCCAAGCCTGATAGGATGTGTTGGCTGCATTTTCGATTTTGCAATGTCAAAAGCCTCCTGGTATGCCTTTTGTGAATCCTCAACTACTGCTGTAACGTAAACCAATGGACTATTCAAATTTTTTTCAATTTACAGCAGGTGTTTCGAATTCCTTTGTTTTTAAATTAATTTTTTTTTTCTAAGGATTTGATATATATTTTTAAATATTAGAAACAAATTGTTAAATGAAATATTTTCTCAACATTTCCACCACCACCACCATTGAAATCACCACTGCACCATCACCATTTTCACTCGTTTTTTTAATAAACTTTTATGTGTTTTCTATATGGCCTGTAATAGAGAAAAAAAAGAGGTCAATTTTGTTTTTTTGTTTGTTAATTAATTAGTACCTGTTTGGCCAATTGGCAGGCCTTATCTGGCGAATTCAAAATTTCGTAATAGAACACTGAAAAGTTGAGAGCTAAGCCTAGCCTGATGGGGTGGGTCGGCTGCATCTTCGACTTGCTGATTTCAAACGCGTCCTGGTATGCCTTCTGGCTGTCTTCTACGACAGCTAAATGGTCGCAAATTAAAAAATGATATTTTATGCATTAAAAAAAAAAAAGTGTCGCAAACCTCGAATTTTTTTTTTCTTTATAATATTCGGAATTTAAGTCAGTAAAAGATATTTAAAAATTAAAATAATAAATAAAATTACACTCCGAGGCCTTTAGAATCATTCGAAGTTTGCTTGCAAAATAAAATATTTCAGGCAATATAATTTTTAACTTGAATTAATAATTTTATTATTAAATTATTTTTTTAGATCTGAATATTTTTAAAGACATTAAAATATTTATATTTAGTTATTAATTTTTGTTGACAATGCGTAAAAGATTTTATTTTGCTTTTCGAGAAATAGAAATTGTTTTAAAAAAAAATTACTATTGAATATTAACACAAAAACCAGTATTTATATTATAATATAATTTCGTTGATATTTTCATCTTCATTGTACGCGTTTATATTTTGGAGGAAGTATCAAAATATTGGAATCTTTACAAACTTACGTATATCTGTACGTGACTTTGAATTTATATTATGTAGATAATTTTCTTGAATGCTGTATACATATACATAAATGAAAGTTGAATGCAACATCTGCCAATGCAGCTGTTTAGCAAGTATCAAAATGAAAATACCAAGTTTCAGTTGAAAACAAATTTTCACAGTTGAAAAACAAATCTAGTATATTAAACAAAAATTAATCGATAAAATTAAGGAATAAAAAAAAATAATAAATGAAATATTTCAACTGTGAAATTTAAATATTGGTTTTATAATATAAATTCATAAATATATATTTTATTTAACCCCCTTAGGACATGAAAAAAAATTAAAAATGAGAGAAAATAATTATATTTTATAAAAGTAGTTTTCACAATTTATGAAAAATGTGCAAAAAAGCATCAAATGTTAAAATTTAGAAAAAATATTTGAATAATTTTGCTTTTTAGTCCATTTTTCCTATAAATGTTGAAAAAAATTCTATGAAAATTAGATAATTATTTTCTTTCAGTTTATTAAAAAATAATAATAATAATGAAACGTTACGTACCATTTCTGGAGTCACCAGTGGCAACTTCTGCTAGATACCTGTAGTAATCTCCCTTCATTTTGAGGTAGAATACTTTGCTCTCAGCATTGCTGGCCTTGGGTATCAGGTACTTGTCGAGGAGACCCTGTAACATAAATTTAAATAAAAATTATTTTTTTTTTTTTAAATTAAATCGATTTTTATCAAATCAATGAGAGAAAAAAAACAGTTTTTATCTATAATTAATTTTCATTTCAATATTTGTTCGTCAATTAAATTGCTTTAAGATGCTTATTTTGCAAATTAATGAAGTGAGAATCGAAACTTGCTAATGGAGTTTCAACTCATTACGACTAGATTAATTAATTCATAAGTAGATAATTACGCAAGCATTCGAGAAATTGAAAGCACATTGATTAACACAGGACAGTGTATATTAATCCTTCTTAATCATAGGAAGAGGATACAAAGACAAACAAGATTTTGCACTATTCACGCTGTGTGTGAAGAGAGAAAACCTTGATCTAGTTTACAATTGTCCTATACCGTGTACTATAAGAACAGTTGTCGATTGTGTCCTATTAAATCAATTAAATAATCGAATAAAAGAATTGTATATTATTTCCTGAGAAAAAAATATAATTTTATTTAGAAAATTAATTTTTAAAAAATGACAATTTTTTTTTTAGAAAAATTAATTTACAAATAAGATTTAAGAAAGTTTAACCGTCATTATATTACTTTATATAACCCAGACAGCAATTTAATAATCGCCCTGAGAAAGATGTCTCTATACAGGGAATCTACTTCCGGAAATGTTAGTCTGACCGGGCGCGTCACTTCCGTTTCCTTTTCTCCCCAATATCCGGATTTTTCAAATAAAATGGATTCAACCCATTTTTTTTTAAAAACAAATTAATGTCTTATATTGCGACGTCAACAATTTTTTTTTCGTTTTTTATTCGTTAATAAATTTTCAATTTTAATACTGAACTGTATCGCAAAGGTTATTTAAAATTCGATAAAAAAAAACATTTAACTTCCTTGACATTGTTTTATATACTTATTGAATGCATATGTCTAGACAAAATGTCATTAAAATTATTTATTATTTTACGATAAAATAAAAATCACTTAAAATATTAAATTCTTACAAAATAATCATATTTTTCTAAAAAAAAAAAATAAATAAAAAAATACTTAAAATTTTTAAACGCTGAATTAAAAAAAAAACATTTTTTTGTTAATTAAAAATTTTAAAATTTTTAAAAATTGCTATTAAATATTGGTTAAATTATTAATTATTTAGTTATTAAACTTATTAATAATTTAGTATTATCTCTCTACAATTAACAATTTAATTAAAATTAAAAATTAAATTGGCAATTTAATTAAAATTGAATTATCATTTTAATTAAAAATTAAAAACTAATTTAGTAATTTAATTAAAATTACAAAATTTAATTAACAATATTATTCTATCAATTATGAAACTAAAAGAATAGAAATTTTTTTTTTAAATCAATTGACTAAATAAAAAATAGTTGAAAACAAAGTTTGCGATACTTTGTGTCAATTTTTTTTTTTTTTTTTAAATTAGAATTTCTGAAATTGAAATTAATATGAAAAAAAAAATATTTAATAAATAGTTAAAATTTCTATGAATGGGAATAATATTGTTGATTTTTTTTTGTATTTACATGAAGCATAGAAAAATGATTTGTATGCTATAAGCAAAGAATCGTAATTTACCCGGGAGTGAAATTTAAAACGGCAACTGATCTTTTTTCAGTGTCAACTTCCCGATTCTATAAAGTTGAGGACGTACAAGATCACAGCGTGTATGTAACATGATCTCTTCAGTGAGTGCACTGTGGCGGGTATTGCTTGCAAACTAGTTCTATGAGCTTAAGATGACACTTATCGCGTGCGTCTACACTTCCCATATATAGGTATGTACTCTACAAATTACACATTTTATTATTTTATTGAATTATTTTTTTATAATTAAAATTCACATATTAATTATTTAAACAATTATTTAAAAAAAATGAATTTTTATAATTCTCCATGAAAAAAAAATGAAATAGGAAAAAATTTGTAACAATTGAATTCCTTGTTATTGTTTTGCGCAATTTTATGATCCTTTATATTGTTAACGAAGGAAATAGTTCATCAAAGAGTGTTTGTTAATTGCATTTTTTTTTCTAAACAAATTCTTTTACAATACTGTCATTTTGCCGTTGATATTCTCTTTTTCTGAGGTTAATGATTCGTTACCTAATAGCCTTTGTGATTTTCTTAAAAACTTTCAAAGACGTCTCTCATACACGTTTACGGAACGAAGCACTTTAGAAACTTTACCGTGTTATATACACAAAGTTCAATGCTTTCAAGGTATTTATTTATAGAAATATAAAACCCAATGTTCTCGAAAAAGAAAAAAAAAAAAACTTTCAAACTTTATAATACCCTAGACATTTTCAAATATTAACTCTTTTTTTTCTATTTTTGTAAATTGAAAGTAATTTCATATATGAAATCTACTAAAATGAACATGCAATTAAGAAAGAGTTCTACTTTCATAAAACTAGTGTCTAATTCAGTGAAAATTTTTCCCGAACGTGACTGATTAAAACTGACGAGACATTTATGAATGATGTTCTAATTATGAATGGTTTTACAATAGACCTGACCTCTCACAATTCTCGTTTGTGCGTCTATATAAATCCCTTGAAATTACGTTATATTTTCTCACCAGGAAAAAAAAAAAATTGCAAAAGAAGCCAAACAATTGTTAGAATCAAAGTTTTTAAAGACGTTTTTAAGCCACGTGTGACACTGATCGCAAATCTCTTGAGAAAGAGACACACGAAGGTCGAGCGTCACTTTAATGTCAGTGTCATGAGAAAAAGTGAAAATACATTATGCTCAATATCGCTTATAAAAAAAAAAAAAATGACTCTTTTATCTGCTAGCACTCATCTTTTATCGTCATCAGAAATGCTCATTTCCCTCTCGACTTTATAAAAATGCTAAAATCAAAAGAAAATCAATAATATTCAAGCGTGAAAATGAAATCGAATGCAAAAATTTAAATACATTTATAACTGAATTTTTATTTAATCGAATTCGTTTTAAAAAAATTACGTTAAATAACAATTCGGTTAAATGACAATTCTTTGAAAATTATTAAACTTTTGTTACTTTTTTTTCTCGATTATCCGATTTTATATTCATTACTGATAAGAAGCAGTAGTTTTTTTGCACATCCTTTTAAAAAGCCAAATATATCTCTCTCTCTCGATCAAGAGTTACTTCTCTCGCACGAGCAAGAAGCCTCGATATATTGTATTTCTAGTTTCATCATTCCGAGGAATGCAATTGTGCAAATAGTCGGCGCACAGGCACACCTTTTGTTCTCTCCATTCGTTTGTAAAGTTATTTCATTTCCAGTTGCTTTCCAACTCTATTTTATCGACTCTGGCCAACTACTTCTCTATATCTCTTTCTCTCTCTCTCAATGTGCTTTAAACTTCCAAGTACATTTTCCAAACTAATTATCATAAATATATAGCTCTCTGAGAAAATGGAATCATTTTACAATATTTAGAGAAAGAAAAATATTTTGAATGATTTTTTTTTACAAAAAAATGGGATCCTTACCAGAACATCGTAGCAAATCTCGCGAAGTTCCTTTTCAACTTTTTCCCGATATTCCTTAGCCATCTGCTGTTTACGTTCGGAGCCTTCGGTCTTTTGCTCAATTGATGAGATTACTCGCCACGAGCTACGCCTCGCTCCGACAACGTTCTTGTATGCGACCGAGAGCAAGTTCCTTTCCTCATTTGATAATTCGACTCCCGTCTCGGTGACGGCCTTCATTGCCGCTGCCATGTCATCGTACCTCTCTGCCTGTTCAGCAAGCTTCGCGCGCTGCACCAATTCTTCTTTGTCCACGGACATTGTGTCAGCTGAAACAGAACAATTTTTTTTATTTATTAATTTATTTTCTATTTTTTTTTCTTTAGGCAACAATTTTCATTAATTGCCTCAAATCGGAAAATTGTTAGTATTTTCTAATAATAATAATAGATTATTAATATTGATTTTTTTATTTTATTTATTTCTTTTGCAATTTACGGACAATTTTTTGGGTAAATCTGTATTTTTAATTAATCATCGAAAATAAATTTTAATAATTTTCAATGAAATGTTATATTTCGAGATGGGAAAAGTGAGGAGGAAACTTATAATATCGATCGATATTCTCGTTTCCTGAAGAGCATTATCATGAATATGAAGCTTTCTAGAACATATAAATGACACTTTTGCAGCAAAACTCAAGGCAACTTAAATGCAGAAACTAGTTTGTAATTCTTGTTAGCTCAGTTGGAAATAATGTTGAAAGATATTTTATTCACACAATGTGCCACTAAATCTTTATTTCGTGCTCTAAATTTTAAATATTCAAAAGGAGGAAAAAAAAAATTGAAATATTCACTGGCAAACATTTTAGAAATAGAAAATTAATTTAATTTTTTTTTTTTTTTCCAAGATCAACAGTATTATGTATTTATTTGAAGAGATAGATGAATCTCTGACGTTTATCAATATTTTACTGCTGATGACACAATCATATATATTAAGGTGCGCAATTTCATTGTATATTTGAAAAGATGCCAAAAAATATAAATATTTTTAATTGGAAAATTAAAACGAAATTTATTAATTTAATACAAAAAATACTTTAATTTATAATAAAAAAAAATTGCAAAAATATATAGATCCATAAGAAAAATTTGGGAAATTACAATTTGATATCGAAAGGTCTGAAAATTGCATTTGCCTTTGAAAAATTTCCCCTGGGTTTTCCATCATTTCTCAAAGAACACTTGATTCTCTTTCTACGCTCTTTGTTGTAAAAACTAAAGGTACAGAATTAACTATCGTCGTAGGCCAACCCTCGTACTTTACTTGGTTAGACACGTACTTTCTTTAAAAAAAAAAAAAAAGAAAAAAAGAACCCTTGCTGACGACAGAACAAGCCGAGGGTACTTAGTCTCCGACTCGAGGAATGAAAAAAAACAAGTCTTTTATGACTTCTATTAAAGCCTATAAACTTAAATGTCAAGTCATTAGATTTTTTTTTTATTTTAATTAAAATTTGAAATACAAAAACTGATCAAAAAAAATTATTTCTAACGGTCGTTTTTTTCTGAATTAGATTAAAATTTTTTTTCTAAATTGGTTAATTCTTCATTGATAAAAAAAATAAATTGCCATTTCATTTGTGAAATCGAATTTAAATATTTCTTACTGAATGAGACTCACGTAATTCAAGCGGAAGCCAATCATATATTTTAAAGGCTAAAAAACAGAATGGATACATTAAAAATTTCAAACTTGCACTTTAGTAAAAAAAAACGGAATTTTTTTTTCCTATTTTAACTTCTTTTTGAGAGCGAACCGAAATCTTTTAATATACAAGAGGTAACTAGAAAAATCTACTAAAGAAAAAAATTACATAAGATGAGTAACACTAAGATTAATGTTTCGTTCAAATAAAAGTTGATTCCTTAATTTTTTTACGACACAAAAAAGTTTTATTATAGACCATTTATAAATTATACTTCTGGTATTTATTTTAGAAAAATGGAAATTATTTTTACAATTTAAAAAAAATTAACGCAAAAACATGAATAAATTTTTTTCCAAACTGATTATTTATTATTTTATATTAAAAAAAAAAAGTGAATCGTATAAGTTGAAATTTTTTTAAAACTTATATACCAGCATCTCATTAATAAGTCCGAGTCTTGTTACTTCTTATGCAAAAAGTCGTTAATAAATTAATGCGCCACGCGACACTCTCAAGTAGTTTCAGTAGAGTAATTACAAATTACGCTCCGATGAGCTGAGCACTTCTTCCTTGACATTTACTGACGTCGTTTGAAATTTTCAGACCAGAACAATAATTAACAAATCTCCTGGATAATCTAGAGTACCAAATTAGTTTTACGAAATTATAAAACTGTCTCAATCAAAAATTGTGATATTATACTATTTTTTTTTCCATAAAATTATACCTTGACATCTAATAATTTTATTTTTGTTTGCTTTGCGGATTAATTCGTTTGTTTCTTATCGTCAGATAAGATTTGAATTGTATCTTACTAAAAGAATATATTTAGCCTTGGGTTTTTTTTTTTTTATATAATTAGGTCATAACAATAAAAATTCGGCATCATTATTAATAGAATATTCATCAAAACAAGATCAAAGTTTAAAAAAAAAATAATTAAATAATCTTTTACTTTTTTTCAATTAAAAATAGAGAAAAATATTAAATAATTTTAACAAAAAAATGGTTTTTTTAAAAATAAAATGATTGGATACGGTTGGTGGCGTAGAGGAATATGTGAATGGAATAAAATGTCATGATGTGGGTATTAACAATATACGATGACTCATGATTTCAATAAGACTTTGACAATAACCGAAAAAAAAATGAACAGGAACTTGACCCATACAAAAACTTAATTTACGAAAAACTGTTGTTTTATTATTTAGTTTGCTTGATAATATCAAATAAATTAGAGACAAAAGTGGACAAATCATTTCCCTTTTCAAGTGTACTTAAAATTTTTTTTTTAAATTTATATAAATAAAAAAAAATTTCTATTTAACTGAATTTTCAGTTAATAAAATTTTAATTCAACCAAATATTTATTTAACAAAAATTTTAATTCAACAGAATTTTTATGTAACAAAATTTCGGATTGAAATGAAAAAAAATTTAGGAGAAAAATTATTATTATTATTATTATTATTATTATTTGAAAAATAAATAGATATTTAATTAGAAAAAAAATAATAGAAAATTGTGTGTGTAATATGGGCTTTGGCATCGCGTTCAGTTTATATAGTGAGATATAGCAATGAAAAAAACGTGAGGAAGTCAATGAAAGGAAATGACGCTTATAGGAAGAATTGTAAGACTGCCGTGAGTCACGAGACTATGCAGGTTGTGCGTGTAGCTTTCTCAATGAACTGGTTAATTTCTGTTCAAGGATGAAAAGTGGAAATACAGAAAGAGTGAGATGTGTCATTTAATTTATTTGAAAAATATCTACTTGACAATTTTTGAAATTGCCCCAAAAATTATTATTTTTCAACAAATTATATTAACACAAATTTTTTTTTTTTAAATTCAATAATTTTAAAAGCTTAAAAAAATATCAAACAATTAAGAATTTTGGTTTTTTAAAATTTTTTTTATATAAAAAATTTTATATTTCTCTATTCATCGAAAGTTTATTCTTTTAATTAAAATTTTAATGAGTTAAAATATTTTGAAATTTTTACATAAATTTTGAATTATTAAAATTTTTTTTCTAGATTTTATTATTGTGTTTTATTCTTTTATAATCGTGAAATTAAAATCAATTATTTTTGCCTCGAGGTTTCCTAAGATACCTATAATTTTTAATTATCTTTATTATTTCTCTCCATGTACATCTCTTTGGATTTTTACATATTAATTTCCCTCTTACCTAAGATACCTATAATTATACAAAATTTTTAATAAAAAACGATTTTTTTTCTTGTGATGATGGAATATCGCGATTTATTATAGGAAACAAAATTAACATTTTAAGCTGAAGCAATAATTATAAAATGTATTTATAACTCAGAATCTGTAAGACATTTTAAGCTAAAGGATTAGTCTGACGAAAATCCCATAATATAATATTGAAAAGCCCGCATGTTCAACCTGAATTAGTAATTAATAATTAATAATTAATAATCAAATTTAGTAATTTTAGTTTAAAGTTATAATAAATTATAACATTAATATAATATAAAATATTTTGAGAAAATAAAATTTTATTTTATATAATATATATAGTGTTTCCCCGAAAATAAAAATTATTAAATTAATATACGCAGTTGGAAATTTTATATCGATAATTAGAGAAGTTTGAACAAGTGCATACGCGATTGTCTTCCACATGAAGAGACACGTACCTACTTTGGAAATGTATATATTCGTGTATACACAAATATTGAGAGAATGGTACAGAACAGAAGTTCAATTTAAACTTCTGTTCTATCAAGTGGGTAAGAACATTGGTTCGCCCCAGAGACTCTCAATATTGTGTATTATCTCACTCAGGAAAAAAAAGCTGATCACTATAAACAAAATTATTTGGTTCGCTGAGTAAAGGCATTTTTTTTTTTTTTTATTTTTAATTATACAATATCTATCCGGTATCAACCAATAAGAGCATGAAAAAAAATATTCAATAAAAATACAATTTCAATCTAAATATTCATAAAAAAAAAAATCATATTGAACAGATTCTATCGAAAATGAAATATCGATATAAAAATAATGGAAAAATATTTTTCCAAGTGTCAAACTATATACTAGAATGCCCTTGAAAAGAAACTAAAATCGATTGCACATTGCGATTTTCAATCCTTTTAAACAAACAATAAACGACAATATTTTCTCATCTCTGTTTTCTAACGTGATAAATTTTTTTTTATATCTCGATTTGCAATAATATTATATTAAAATTAACATTTATTATTTAATTTTTAATTTTAAAAGAAAATGGATCTCTGTTTTATATAATTGTTTATTACAAATTTAAATATTATTGAAATTTTCAATTTTTTTAAATAATTAAATTATTAGATTATTATTGGAACGCCTTTTGAGAGCAATTGAAAAACAAAATAATAATCACATGAGTAGTATCGAGTTAATTTCAATTGAGAGCTTTGACGAATTGTAAATTGTTTACGTGAATATTTCTCTGTACCTGCATTCAATATTAACCACTGAGCAGTTTATATACTCAGAAAAAAATTTATTTGAATCAACTAAAAATTTATTTGATTTAAATTCTTTCTTCATTCGAAAAAATTATTATTTTATTATATTATAAACTAAATCAAACGT